GGTGCAGCACATTTTATGGAGGACTGTTTACTGATCCTGGGAGAGTAGACTACAATGCCGGCAGTTCTGACTCACAGTCTGGAAGTACGTTTTCATTTTAAGGATTTGCCACTGATGATTCAAACGCGAGTTTTGAGCAGTGTAGAGTAGCACTTGTTGTTTGTCATTTCTCTGATCACAAATGCAGACATGGTTTTATGTTTATAAGGCGCGATGCAATGCGAAAAAAAGACAGTATAAGTTGACAATTCGACCAGATCGCGAGACCACACACTTGATGATTGTAGGAACGATTTCACAGTGACACGAGATCTCACAGAGACTCGCGAGATCAAACGTGACTAGAGAAGAAAAACAAATGGAGGACAATCAACGTTGTCAGCTGGCTCTCCTGGCGCGCGTTCTGAGTATAAACAAAGTATAAAAAAGAAAATGGGTGATGTTCTCTGCTTTCATGGCATGGTTTGTGGCTGCCAAGTTTCAGCTATAGAAGCACGCAACATCCGGTAGGTGACACTTGCTTGCTCTCATTGGCTATCACGTCAGAGGCAGCCTGAAACATTTTTGATATGTACGATTTGAGTTCGGGGACGCTCTGTCTTGATCGGGAGCAGATAAACAAAAGTAATGACACCACACAATAGAGGATTTTTTGGACAAAAAAATTTTTTGTGACAAGCCGCGAATCGGGCCACACCCCACGATCGTTCAGAGATACAAATCGGGCTTAAAATCGTCTAGTGTGCGGCCAGCCTAAGTCGCCTCTAATTTTAAATAGCTACAGATAGTTCGGTTTGTAATAGACCAAATAAACATCTTGTTCATGTACTCATATATTCATTCTTTCTTGTCTCTTGTTTAAAATAAATAAATAAATCAGAATCGATGGAGATCACATTGCTGTGTTTTTTGTAAGGCACATTTTCTGCTGGAAAATATGGACATGCTGCTATTTCTTAAAAAAAATCAAGCTAGAAAGGAGCACAGGCAAAATCTGTTTGTTTATATGAAGAGATTTATTTTATTTGTATTATTCATTTATTTATTTGATTTAGGATGTTTTAAAATTTCAATTTAGTTTTGTTATTTGACATAAGATATTTCAATTTCACAGAAATCTGCAGCATTTTGTCTGAGAAGTAATTAAAAAAAGACACCTTCATATTTATAATTGATCTTAAATCTCATTTTTAGAAAAAAAATTGTGGTCTTTTCAGGTCTCTAAATTAAAAAAAAAAAGTGTTCAAGAATTGGTGATCAGTTACAGGCCCTAAAATATACAATTTCTCTAACACGTTGATAAATTTAACCTATGTCTCAACCTTTCAGTGTTAAAAAGCTTATGTCAATTTCGCAAATATTGATGACTGTGAAATGCACAAAAAGCAACAAATACTGATGAAAACCTGGAGCTCATCCATCCCACTGGTGCTAATTATTTTTTTCCATTTGACTTCTTTCATGTCTTTTTGTGCATGATCACTCATCCACCATCACATTTGGTCTACTACGCAGGTAAAGCTCTGAGTCTGAACAAATCTCAGATAACAAATTACAAGCCCAAAATATGGCATGTAGTCACTCAAACAAAGTCAAAATTAGAGTGATTTGTTCTGATACTGTAATGTTGTTGTTACATGTCTGGAAAAATCAATGTGAGTCAGTTTTGTTTCAGTATGACAGAAATGTTAGACATATCTATAGACTGTTTTGTCTTGTTTGACGCAGATAGGACAAAGCCTTCTGTACTGTAATTTGCTAAATCACAAAGTGTGTGACTAGTTAAAAATTAACAATGATCATAACTTTAATCACAAAAACAATCTCCAGTCAAGGACAGAACCATTTAACCCACATCAAATGCAATTTAACCTGTTAAAACAGAACATGTGACAACTTGTGGAGAAAGAAGTCATGCACACACCAGAAAATAAATAAATTAAATAATAATATTAAAGAAATAAATAATTCACAAAAAAAAAAAAAAAACCCTACCAGCACTTTTAAAACTGCTTCTTTTTGCATAATCTTCAACGCTGCATGGGGGGAAACTGTAGGGGAATGGAAATTTAAGCAAGAGGATTTGCAAAACTGTTTAGCAGTTGGCCTTTATTACTTAACTGGTTACAGGTCAACAGCTTTTAACTTGAGTTAAGAGCTGAAAAATTATAAACAAAATAATCTTAAGAACCTAATGGGCTATTAGAGATTTTTTTCTTTAAAAAATACGAAATCAAATTAAATGGCAGTGCAGTGTATATAAAAAAAAAAACTTGGAAAGACATGGAAAAAGAATGAGGCAACCCTCTTAGGTTGAGAAGCTTTCCCAAAATAGGAGCTGAGAAGCGAGTTTGGACATGTTAAGCAAAGCATGATTTTGAATATTTTAAAATAAATAAATAAATCCTGTCATTCTGTGTATAATGTACAGGCTTGATGAATTAGCCTCTGCTCATATCATGTCTTGTTTGAGCTTGTCTTATTTATCAATAATAATTAAGTATATACCACTTAATAGGAGGCATCATTTTTTTAGGGTTTTGGCTGGTTTTATGTTTTCATTTACTAAGCAACAGCTTTAAAGTATTCTTTAATATATAGTATATATATAGCGAGAGAGAGTTTCACTATGCCCTGATGAACTGCAGTGCTATATATTTATCTTTGTTTCGAGAGAGAGAGGTTGAATTGTAAAAAAAATTCAGAGGGATGCATGGTCAAGTATTTCTTTGGTGGGCCTGGGGTCCTGTAGCTAACTTTACACCATGATTACAAAATTTTTAAACATTTTTATTTAATAAAATTTGAACTTTGTTAAATGAACTATGATTTATAAGCAGTTTTTTCTGGGAGCTGAAATATGTATTTTTGTCATTTTAATTTTTATTCATGTATGTGTTTGTTTGATTGATAACAATAATTAAACGATATTTTGCTGAATGTGTTTTTGTGCCGGTACCTTGGGTGGTTTAGGCCTGTCATGGATAAATAAATGAAAATTAAACTGCAATTCCCTGTTTTAATAAACGATTCACTGAATCATTCAAATCAAACAATGTTCAAAACGGCGGATTCAAATAGTGAATATCCATTCCTTTATGAATGGATCCTTGAATCATTGGCTTACTAGATTTGTTCAAAAACAGATTCATTCAGGATGGAAACACTGGAGTGTTGCTCAGTCTGCACTGTTGTATAAAATGAATAGCAATTTTGCCATTGCCCACACATGCTGTTATTCAGGAAAGCACTCTTGCTTGTGTGATGAATATAGAAAAATAAAAACTGGTATAGGGGTAGGCCTATTTTTTTTTTTTTCATAACTTGGATTATAGGGACATTTTTCTAAATGGATTCCAATAGGCTTCATCACGCAGTCAATGCTTTTGGACTCTCCTTTTTTTTTTTTTTTTTTTTTTTACAAAGTCACTGATATACAGGATAATGTCAGCTCTCAGTCTCGTCCTCAGTCACACATAGTAACAGCAACAAGGTTGTCCAGGGAATGCCTTTAAACTCGAATCAAGCAAATATCATACCATCTGTTGTCTTCTTTTAAACGAACGTCAAAAGTTGCGCTTGAACCATTTTGCACGAAAAATGACGAAAACCTGATTGAGCTTGTGCGCAGCTCGTATTGATAGATTATTGGCCAATCGACGTTAATTAGTTCCCAAATTATCATACCTAGATTATTTTAATATTTCATTTGCATTATAAGTTTTACATAATATACAACATTATTATTCTAAAGGGAATGGTGGATTTACAGAGGGGATGCTCGAGCCCCTGCCCCTGACCTGAAATGACGCCCCACACACACACACACACACACACACACACACACACACACGAACGACAAAGAGACGAATTACTTCGGAGTCATCAGGATGAGTGAATGAATGAATGAACGCATTTGTTAGTGTCGACATGTCCTGTCGTTCACCGCCAAAACAGCACTCGTCGTCGCATCATTCCCCGCTCTCTGCAGAATGAGTACCATGACTCAGCTCAGCGGTTTAGTGTTTCAGTTTCCGTGAAAGCTAAACCAGTCCCCTTGCGTCCATGGCTCAAAAAAATCGGTTGTCACAGCAGTGTCATAGACTGATGACTCAAGCTGAAACTGCGGCTCCGTGTTCCGCAGCAGCATCTTTCACATCAATCGAATTTACTTCGAAGCAGCCACACGTTTCACACAGCGGGTTTGACAACTTCTGTAAACTAAAAATAACTACTTGCAATCCAAAATAAATGCATCTTTAATATTTTCACCCATTTTATCCTCGCTCTCGCCCTCTCTCTCTCCTTGTTCCTATATCTTTGCTTAAATGTCTTAAAAATAATGAGTTCATCTGCAGCCATGGATGATGGTCTATACAAAACACATCTATTCTTACTTCGAAATAACCCCTTACCTTAGAAAACATTTTCTTCAATGAATCCAGTGAGCTCAGCCTTGATGTTTCTATTTCCTGTATCATTATTGAGAAGGAGGTGTGTCTTCCTCTCTGCAAGCTGCATGCTTCCGCCTCACATTTGACAGCTCGAATACAGGTACATGTTAAAGGAGAGGAAGAAATAGATAGAGGTTATTAATACTGCCTTAGTGGATCAAAATTAAATAATTTTGCATTCATAAAATTACAAACATATACATCTTAAACATCTACAGTATATTTAGACCCTATTATTTAACAATAGCCCAAATCTATAAAAATCTGAAGACAGATTATAAAGTTTAGACATGCTACTCACTCTCAGTCCTTTATCTTCTATTGCCTTTGTCAACAGAAAAAGAGATAATGCTCATCCAGCTAAATCCCACTGGAATACTGGCCAGGAGCCATGATGCAGACTGAAAGCTTAAACTTCAGTTGAATGCACAATGCGTTCTATGCAGGAGCTAAAGAGTTGGGGAAAATACTGACATGGTTAACAGACATCAGTGACTCTTCACAGTTAACAAAGTGGAACATGCCATGAGATTGCATTCCAATGCTGTTGTGTCGACGGTCATTGGGGTCATGTAATTGGATTGTGAAACAAAATAATAGTCAGCTAAAGTCTGTATAGATGTGTTAATATTAGGTTATCTTGTAGAGGCAAATATCTGTTAATATAAACAAAAAGTTCAGCTATTATTTGGTTCTTTCTCTTTAGGCTAAAACAGGCCTTAGAAATGCTTTTTTTGTTTTTTCCAGATTCATTTCCATGCAGCGTGAGCCCCAGCAGTGCTCATGCCTGAACGTATCAAAGCTTGATGGGTCATATTTCGTGTAACTATAAATGTACAGCAGCAGTCACATCTAAAATAACTTTAAATTTCAAGGGGGTGCTGCGATGGCCTGTCATTTGCAAACCCATGCACGTGCACCCACACAAACACGTTAGATTTCAACCTGTTTGAAAGGTGGGGGAAGAAAACACTGAATATCAATTATTTTTTTAAAAATATTTTAATGCACCATTAATAAAGGGTCCAACGCATTAATACAAGAGAAATATTGCAAATAATATTAAAACTTTAAATCAAATTGAAACGAAAAACAAAACAAATAACTGAATGATAGGTATGTACAATTATTTTCTTGCAATGGGAAGTAGGAAAAGAATGAACATATTTACAGCCTAGAACCAGTGTGTTTCTACGAGAAACAAACACCTCTACAATATTTACATGTAATTCTTTTTATCTTTTTTGTCCTTTTTGTTTTGTTTTTATGGTTACACCTCTGTGGATCAGTTTTTACTGAAAGACTGCGGTAAATCTACATATTTTACAGGTCTTCCTCTGATAGGAACAGAATGCTGGCAAGGCCCTCTGACAAAGTGCGGGAAAAAGGGAGCAAAGATGTAATGTCATGTCCAATTTATGGCAGAGTGGAGCAGAGAGAGAGAGAGAGAGAGAACCAGTAATACGAAAGGACAGAACAGAAGGAACAGACACGACCGCCCGTTCTAGTGAATCTCTGCACATGCACATCTCTCCGAGTAATTGGGAGACATCCATTTTATGGTGAAGTACGCACACCTAGTTTTGGATTTTGGATCTTCCGACAAATGAGCTATGAGGAAATATATATTTTATGATCATATTATCCTTAGCAGAGTAGTTACTAGCCCCGCAATAGAGTGCTTTGTTTCAAAACATATGTCCCATTCCTCCACAATTCTTCAGTGGTCTACAATAATATCAATGCCAAAGGAAAACCCAATCAATATTTCCATTATTTTGCTAAAATATCAATGCACATATTTCAGCACACCAAAAAGACGACTTTATCAGTCCTGTCCTCATATTGCTAAAAACTATGAACGAAAGGGGTATCAGTTCATGTAAGCGGTGTATTAAAATGATGGCAGGTACATGATAACCTCTAGAATAACTGTTTTTACAGTGTACTGGCATTGTAACTTCTAATTTGTGAAAAATAAAATAAAGTAGTAAATGTAAATACTTACAATACTAGACCATTTTTAAAGTTACAGAATACCAGCACATCATGCTGGAAAAGGAGACATTTTTAATTAAGGTTGGTGCCGTTTTGAGGAAGTTTTGAAAGAAACGTGCACACCAAAACAGCTTCATATAAAAAAAAAAAATAGGCAGAGGTGATACTACGCAGATAATCAGAAGAAGGTATAGCGATAGATCTGACCTAAATGAACGGACAGGCATCAGAAAAGGGACAATAAATAATGAACTAAAATTATTACTCTCTCTCTGACAACAGGGGTAAAAAGTCTTAAAGGAACACTCCACTATTTTTGAAAAAAAAAATTCCAACTCCCCTAGAGTTAAACAGTTGAGTTTTACCGGTTTCGAATCCATTCAGCCAATCTCCGGGTCTGGCGGTAGCACTTTTAGCTGTAGCTTAGCATAGATCATTGAATCTGATTAGACCGTTAGCATCTCGCTCAAAAATTACCAAAGACTTTCTATATTTTTCCTATTTAAAACGTGACTCTTCTGTAGTTACATCGTGTACTAAGACCGACGGAAAATTAAAAGTTGCAATTTTCTAGGCTGATATGGCTAGGAACTATACTAGTATACTAGGAAAATATAGAAACTCTTTGGTCATTTTTGAGCGAGATGCTAACTGTCAGATTCAGACAGTTCAGACAGATGCTAAATCAGATTCAATGATCTATGCTAACCTACAGATAAAAGTGCTACCGCCAGACCTGGAGATCGGCTGAATGGATTTGAAAACGGTAAAACTCAACTGTTTAACTCTAGGTGAGTTGGAAAATGAGCCTATTTTCAAAAATAGTGGAGTGTTCCTTTAAATCCACGTCTTTAAGTAGGTCTTTAAAAGTTGCCCTTGGAAAAAAGACCCAGCATTTTAAGGGTGTTTGCCACTGTCAAGCGTTGTGCATAAGAGAGCGGAATATGTGTGTGTGCAGTTGCTGAACAACTTCAAAGCATAGACCAGGGGTGGCGAACATCGGTCCTGGAGAGCCACAGCCCTGCAGAGTTTTGCTTCAACCCTAATCAAGCACACCTGAACAAGATAATCAAGGCCTGAAGGGTTACTAGGAAGCTACAGGCAGGTGAGTTTTAATTAGGGTTGGAGCTGTACCCTGCAGGACTGCTGCTCTCCAGGACCGGAGTTCGCCACCCCTGGCATAGACCTTGGCAAAACAACACCATCCAACACAGCTGCAACAAGAGGAACGAAATTAGATAAAAGCCAGTGCAGAAAAAAAAAACTTTACAAGTAGAACTGGAGGTGTTGCGGCAGTGCTGAGATCCCAATCCCCCTGGGCCAAACATCTGATTAAACATCTGGACACATCTGTGCCTGTATAGAAGCTTTTCAAAGAGTCTGATGTTCTCCCATCATACACTATCTACATTGTTGTGCGCCGAGAAGAGTAGCTTGTGGGCCAGGAAAGTTGATTGGCAAGTCATGTATCAGGGGAAGGTCTAGGGAACTTTTAGTTGAGGGTTCCTCTGCAGTTCTCCGTGCCACACAGACATGGGATTTTGTTCTCTTCAATGGGGAACTTGTAATCATATGTGATCTCCTCATTCACACCGATGGGTAGCTTGGAGTATATGACTATCTTCTTCTGGGACTCAATGGTGATCACTTTGGCGTAGCAGTTGGGCTGTGAGAGAGGAGTACATGAAATCATCAATAAGATTCAGAAATATGGGTTTCCTGAATTACATTCTCTCCCATAGGAGAGTTGGGAAATTTAAAACGTTGCATTTCTGTTCAGCATAGCTCTATGGCAGGGATCGTCAACTGGTGGACTCCGGTCCGAATCCGGACCGCGAAGCCTTTTGACATAATGAAATAAATAAATGCCAAATGCTATTTTCTAATAAAATCGTATTTCCTTCAAGCGCATCAAGGTCGGTGCAGTTGAGCCGTTTGGGTCCTACAGCACCACAGGTTGCTACTACAGTTAACTGTTGCTACGTTCAGACGTGCAGTTATGCGTGCGGTAAAGAGAGCAGAGAGTGGGACGCAGACACTTTCAATGAGTGAAAAACAATGGCATTCTCAAAAATAAGGAAAGTTGACAGTTTAGTTGCATCAAATTTAAGGCCATAAAAAGTCTTAAATGGTACATGAATGTCTTAATTATGATTTCAGGAGGGCTTAAATAGTGATACGGCTTAATGTGACAACTTGTGGCTATGATTTCATTGAATAAATATGAGCGCTGCATGTTTCAAAGTCAGCTGCTGCTTTGCTGCTTTGTGTACTGTGGTTCCCGGGGAAACAGCTATATTTCTATAATTCCAAAAGCACCTCCTGCTGGCAGAGAATGAATTTGTAATTTCAATCAGCCTGTCTGCTGTTTTCGTTCATACCAATGTGAAAATCAACCCATGTTTTCATGCAGCAAACACGCAGAGTGTAACTGTGAACTGGTGGATCGACAAGAAGATAATGCATTATAAAAAAATGTAAACAATTAAGACAGTAACATATATTTATTTGTTATTTAATACAATAATTGATTGATAATTGTTTAAATTAATATAATAATTGATACTTTTGACTCCTTTTTTACTTTAAAGGCTGAAATGTGCAGTTTATAATTTTATAAAACTTTTTGTTTATGTGAAAACATGTTTATGAACTGTAAATCATGCTTTTTACAGTCATTTTAATTTTATTTGTGCAGGTCTTAAAAAGTCTTAAATTTGAGCTTGAATATCCTGCAGATACATGGTCTGGCAAAAACTATCAATTCATGTTTTTAGGCATATAATTGTCCGGACCTCAGCTGGTGAGAAGGGTTCATTACTGGACCTGAAGCAATTTTAGTTGAAGACCCCTGCTCTATGGGGTATGTGTGAGCTCATTTTCTGTTGCTGAAGGGGATGATCACCATAATGGTGCACACACAAATTCCATTCACAGCTGGATGGAGAACAAAACATGGTTTCGCTTTTACAAACCATGTAAAGACCAGATGCAACTTTATGCAAGTCTTATCAGCAATAAATGAGCAAATCCAGCAGCTGCAGGGAAGCACATTAAATAGAGGACAAAAATCTGCAGATCTGGAAGACCATCTGTAAACATTCACATTCATAACAGGACTTGACAATAAGGACTATCCGATGGCCCGGGGTCAGTGTGAAAGACATTCGGGACAGCTGAGGGAATTGTAACTGGCCTAAAGTCTAAGACCTACCTGATAACCTTAAAGCAATGATTATTTAATTTGTATCTTTGTTCTATCGTATTTATTTGTGTTATTGCTTGTAACATGCTTATTTGTTCTTATTTTATAAGTGACTGTTTGCTTATCTTTAAAGGTGCAATATGTAAGATTTTTTTATTAAAATATCCAAAAATCAATAGAACAGTGTTATACATTTTGCTGACTTGTGTACTTACATTATCCCAAATGTTTCGAAGAATGTTTGAATCCAGAGAAATAAGCAATTTTAACTAGTGACACGGACTGTGTCTATAGTGTCACCTGCCAATGACATCATAACCCCTTGATTTCTTTAATAAGTAGCATTATAACAGAACTTTCAAACGTATCTAATATGATAAAACAGCGCTGCTTTACCCCACATACGCACGACCGGAAGGAGTGGAAGCGCTAAAGTGTGGCATAATAAAAAGCTCCGCTGCTTTCGAGCTGTGCGTCACTCTCGTCTCTCATTAGCAATTGCTTCAGCTGCCTCGTTTTGCTTTGATGGCTTTCAGCCTCACTCTGCTTCATACTACGATGTTAACAAATCTTTAATACATTAGCTAATCCATGAACATGATTTCTGCCTGAGTCCCGTCAGATTGCGTCGGCTGTGGGGATGAACACGATAACTCCAATCAATGCTATGCTAACTCAAACTATGCCTTTGTTTCTTTGTTTGTTTTGAATATGTGCCCTCTAGCAGTGAAAACGTACATACTGCACCTTTAATAATGTTTAAATTTTATATAAAAATTTTGGTATAATAACCTTGTTTATTAGAATACCAACCCTCTACGCACACCTTGGCAATAGAATCGCCATTGGCTAGTAAATATTTTAATTTACTATATATATATAAAGCTTATGTTTGTAAAATGACACAGCTTTTTAAATATCTGAAAGTACACTCTTAACATCAGTCAGTCAAGCATTATAATATGATATGATAATCAAGCATTATTTAATGACAGAACTTTAGTAATTAGAATTAAAACTTTGTTACCATGTATGAATGCATATTTGTCATTTTAACTGAAATTAGGACTGTTGGTGGTGCTTAAGATATTGTTGGTCATTTAGTGTTTCTGTAAAAAAAAAAACCTACCATTAATACTGATAAGATGATAATAATAATAATACTACAAATTCTACCTCTGAAGCGCTCAGTCAGAGTGTTCGGCGAGTGAAAATATATCTCTGCTAAACTTATACTTAGCCTCCAACTCACACACTGGCGAGTAAAATCTAAGAATTTATAAAGTCAATGGCTAATGTTAGACATCGTTTAGTCGCCCAGAGTGAAGATTTAGTCACATATGTGAGTGATTTACTCACAATGTAAAGGGTTGAATACACAAGTTGTTGTTTTTTTTTCCCCAAGGCAAATGAAAAATTTAACTAAAAAAATCTTTGGCATCAGGCCCTGCATAACCTAGATCTCCTTCAGTTTAATGAAATACTGATGGCGGGTTTATATAAATGTGGCAGCAGTATGTTTATCAGACATCATGTGATATTTGAGATATATGGATACGTATGCGTCACTAGGAGGGTACTTACCGTGCAGCAGTGGTTAATAAACCGAGCCAAGTTGCCACACTTGGTGGCGTCAATGATAGAGTCATGATCGACACGGAATAGGTAGCTACTCCCGATGCCTTCTTGGGCATATCGCTTCTCCCGATTATCAGCAACCATCTACAAATGGTGCAACAAACACACAATTACCACCAACAAATCAACAAGTATGTTTTCCATAAAGAGGAACCAAACTCACTTCCTAGTCTAGATCATTTAATAGCTGTTACTTATACTTCAGCTTGAAGGTTTACCTGTCTGATACTCTGTCCCACATATTCAATGACCATCTCATCTGCAGCGATGGGTTCCATGGCAAACAGGCCCCATTCATGGATACGGCTGCGGCCAAACCTCAGTTTCTTCTTACGGAACTGCAAGCAGATGAATTACAAGCATGAAGAAATTAAAACACCAATAGGATTGACCATGTTTGAAAGCACAAGAATACTATATGAACATTAAACCCAAATTTGCCCATATTCAGAATGAATAACCACGATTATGCTAATATTTTGGTTATTAACATTCTAAATAAAACAGATGCATGCATTTAAATTTGGATTATGCACACACCTTTTCATCATCTTTTATACTGCTGTTCACAAGTTTTGGGTCAGCAAGATTTTGGAATGTTTTTTAAAAAAGCAGTCTTTGCTCACCAAGGCTGCATTTATTTGATAAAATGCAAAAATACAGTTAAAAACAGTAGTATTGAAATATTGTAACTTAAAATAATGTATTCCTGCGAGGACAAACTTTCACCATCAATACTACAGTCTTCAGTGTCACATGATCCTTCAGAAATCATTCTAACATGCTGATTTGCTGCTCAAGAAACATTTCTTATTATCAAATTTGAAAAGAGTTGCTGCTTGATATTTTTGTGGAAACTGATAATTTTTTCTGGATTCTTTGATGAATAGAACATTTTATATAGAAATATTTTATAACATTATGAATGTATTGACTGTCACTTTTGATCCATATAATGCTTCCTTGATGAAATATAACATAATATAATATATATAACAATTTTCTTTAAAAAAAAAAAATCTTACAGACTGATCTTACTGGAATGACATGAGGGTGGTTAAATGATGACAGACGAAACACTGATTAACACAAGAAGTCTCTGGGCTGGAGCATTCCTATCTGTCGAAACGTTGTTGTATAAACACAGTTCTTTTTTCCAAGACAGTTTAAACAATTCCTCCTAGTAACCGCCACAAACACACAGATTATAATTGAGACTGGTAAATGGCCTGGTAAGGACATACATCCAGTTCACTGATTAAAATCAGGCTATTAAGTGAAAAATAACATTAAAGGCCCATAGGGAAGCCTTTGTGTGAAGTACCTCCACACCTGCTGCATAATAAACCAACGAGACATATGTCTGCCCTTTCCAAACATATGGAGTGTATTCATTAATTCTTTCTTCAAAGAACATGCAATTAAGGAGATCCAAAGATATGAACTGCTTTTAAAGGAACGCCTTTTAACTTTGAACAAATTAACTCAATCTCAAAGATCTTGTCAATCATAGCAACAGCCAGAACCACTGATAAGGCTCAGCCAGTCAGGGTCACTGACACAGGAGTCAGTAGACATTACAGAGTTGATTGGGGGGTATGAATTACACTACAAAGAGACCTGTCCGGTCAATGTGCCCACAGATGCCATTTACTAAACTGAAAACAAGCTGAAGGGAGTTCGTGGAATTGAAGGAGTGGTGAGGTCAATGTAATCAAAGTGTTGATATTATGATCAAAGTCATGGTTGTGTCAATGAACTAAAGAACTTTACCTTCAGCTGGTTCAGTTTCAACAGGTCTGAGTCCATCACTGCTGGAGTGCCAATAGCACTGAGGAGACGCCGCTGCTCGGAACGCCTTTCTGAGAGCAGACGATTCGAGCCCTATGACGGACAGACAGAGAGAGAGAGCTGCTCAGATGGATACAAGCTACTAACCCAAACTTTCTCCCATATTCATGCTGAACAAAGTAATTGAATGAGTCAAAAAATATTTTCAGTAACAACTACAGTATGTACATTAAAATCTGACATCTTCACAGTAAAAAAACAAAAACAAACAAGACTTCAATGACAAGTTCAAAACACATTTGAGTTATTAAAACAAAGTGAACCTACTGCAGTATCATAGTCACCAGCTTCCTGCACAGTCACTGGCTGGTCTAGCTCAAGGTAGACGTCTTTCTCCTTGCGGCTGATGGCATAGTAGCCTTCACTACGAGCACAGCCCGTGACATGCTCTCTTAGCTGCCTATCTGCTGTCTTTTTCTTCCGCCGGGGGTTAGGGATGTTGGTCAGTGCAGGCAAGAGGTTAAGGGAGCAAAACTTGGGAAAAATGCACTTAGAAAGCAGCATCAATGTGTAAAGTAGCCTTTTACTCTATTTACTTGTACGCATTTACACTTCTTGTTTACTCTTTAAATTTGGTATTGTGGTACTGATAATACTGTTGGCTCCTGTATCACTAATAAAAGCACCTGTTTGTTGGTATAAACCATGCATTTTCATTCTTAGGTAGCTGTAAGGATATTGGTATGAAGGACCCAGTGTGTGTCGTTGAGCCAGTCGGTGCCATGATCATCTTGCAACAGTTTCTCGTAAGTGCTCTTCAGGAGCCTCATATCTTCCTGGTCCAGGCCAGTGTTCCAGATGTCATACAGGATGGTCATCTGCTCAAACTCACTACGGTTCTTGTAAGAGGGCTGTGGTACGGGAGCTGGTGTGGGCATGTGTTTGGGCCGTCGCTGAGTCGAGGGGGTCAAGCCAGCTTCCTGCAGGAAAAGTCGTTCGCTCTTTCTAACCTCTTCCTTTTCAAACTCTAGCGATCTCTCCAGACCGAAGTCAGAGTCTCCCGAGTCAGAGCTGGAGCTGGAAAGCTCACCAGACTCCAACTGTTCCACATCCACATCTTCTTCATATTCCTGACAATAGAGTATGTTTGGAAAATGTTAGCAAACAGACAAAACACACACAAAATGCAGACCAAATAGGGGGAATATTCCATCACTATTTGACAAACTTAACAGTATTACCCAACAATGCAGAACTGTTGAAAGCAGTTCAGGTTCTGTGGGTCTGCAGGACAAACTGTTATATCGCAACAGCCTGAAACATTCCAGCGTGGTAAAATTGTTGCCACAGTGCTACATTGACAATGCAAAGTGGCATTCAACTAGGATATAGACCATTGAGAAAATATATATACAAACCATCTAAGATGTTGCAAAGATCCTCATACAAGGACCAATGAAACTGTAGCTTTTCAAGCTTCAAGTTATTTAAACTGAAAATTACAGTCAAGCAACCTCCTCATTAAAATCCTCATTTGACAATTACTATAATTGATGCTTAAGGGTGAATTCTCTCGCAAAACAAGTTCTTTAATGAGAACCAGACAGAAGCACAAACCTCTAACTTCCTTTTCCTCTGTTTCTTGATCGGTTTCTCCTTCTGCTTCTTAGAGATTTGCAGTTCCTCATTTTCTTTGTCCTTCCTACTTCTCTTCTTGCTCTTCCCTTTCCCCCTCTCTTCCATCTCCATCTCTTTGCTAATCGATCCTCTCCTCTTGTGTGGTGGGCCGAGTGTCTTGGTCTGCGTCTCAGCCGTGTCCCTGGAGTCACACAGCAGGCCCATCCCAGAAAGGTCCCCGTATAGCTCTGGAGCCTCTCCTCTTGCGGCTAGCGCTTCTCCGATGACCTCTTCAGGGGCTTCCTGAACACCGTGCTGATTGAGGTCGGCAGGGAGCAGGACTGTGGGGTCCTGTTTCGTCTTCTTTTGTGGAGATGTGAGGTGCAGAGGAGCAGGAGTTTTAGAATAGTTGTGCTCCTGCAGGACAAACAGACCCTCTGGATCCGGGAGTGGTTGGCGTGGGTGCGGGGCGAAGAAGTCTCCCTCTTCTTCCTCAAGTTTGTGCTCCTCTGCCTCATCGGAGGTCTCCGTTTCTTCAGAGTCAATATCTGCCTCTGGGTCCATTTTCAGCGCCACATCAGCCAGAACTGACAGGTCAGGCTTGGGGGCAGAGGCCAGCTGCAGTAGGCTGGACACTCCCAGCTGCTCCCTGAGTTTCAGCCGCTGCTCCAGCTCCTCTTCATCCTCCTCCTCTTCCTCCAGAGCGGGATGCAGATGAGGGGCGGAAGCCGACTGGCTGAGTGTCCGAGCGCGACCACGTGCACGACCCTTCTGCGTAGTTGAAATGGGGACGGGGTCCTCGTAGGCCACTTTGACCAAGGAGGCATGGTCCAGCGGAAGGTTCTGGACAGTGAGGCAGACGGGCGCCGGGGGTGTTCTGGGAGAGTCTTTGCCACGTTTGGAGGAGTTTTTGGCAGTGGGAGTTTGTGGGGATGGAGGGAGACCTGGACCCTTTTTGGGCTCATCAGGCCGCAGGGAACGCACCGGTGGAGGGACAGTAAGAACGGCAGAAGGGGAAGCAGGGGAGGTAAGGGCGTTCTCGCTGGGACGAGAAGCAAACGGAAGGAGCATCGGGACGGGCTTGGAGGCGGCGGCTGGAGCAGTTGCTGTGGGCGTGCTTCCGGGAGAAGCGGAAGTAGGAACATCTGAGGCTTGTGAGACAGGAGTGGGAGAAGATGATGACAGAATGGAGGGCTTGACCTCGCTCTCTTCCATTGAGAAAGAAACAGTTTTGCGCCGTTTCTTGAGTGGGGGAAGGAGGAGAATGGGTGAAGAAGGACGGGGATACGGAGAAGATGGAGGCACAGCTGTAACCATTTTCTCTTCTTCTGGTAGTGAAAGAAAGAATTAAGTGAACAAAACTTTGCACTTTTAAAAATAAAAATAAGGAATTTTAAACTCATAAATTTGCTTATTAACAGGATAGTCCACTCAAATCTGTTATCACTTACTCACCCTAATGTCGTTCCAAACCTGTTTGACTTACTTTCTTCTGTGGAACACAAAAGAAGTCAATGGGAAAGGAAACTGTTTGGTTATCATTATTCTTCAAAACATATTTTGTGTTAAGCAGAATAAAGAAAGTCAAACAGGTTTGGAATGACATGAGGGTGAGTAAGGCGGTGAGTAAGGCCAAATCCCATTTCTACCCATTGCCCATACACTTTCCCCTAGGCTCGTTCTCTAGAAGAGGTAGGGGTGTCTCGATTCTCTTTTGGTTGGAGTGGTAGGGGTAGGGGGAAGGGCCAGATAGTCCTCCAAATGAAGATTTTTCAGACAAAGGGGCATGAGAATTATCTCAGCATACACCGGCTACAGCAGCAATATGGCTGCCCGAGCAAACAAGAAGACCCATACATTTATGTATTTTTGGAATTAATAAGGATTTTATTGAAAAATAAACATTTGTTTTATGTTACTTTCAATCTTGTGTTCATATTTACGGTCATGTTATTCAAAGAAATGTTTGCAAAAAATAAATAAAAAATACCCCCAATACTTAGAAATCGCCAAGCTTTTTTCTCAAATATGTCCATTTTGAGAGAGATTAAAGTTGCGTGTGAATTAGAATTGGGCCTAAGTGATAATTTTCATTTTTGATTGGACTATCCCTTTAATTCCCTTTTTCCTTTGGAAAAAGGGATCTTTAACTGACCTTGTTTGACCTCTGCAGCAGTCACTGATGATTGGTCAATGCTTGCTTTGTCCCTGTAAGAAACAGACATAATGCATGTCAACATATCTGTGAAGACAATTTTCTTCACACTATCAGTTCTCGAAGAGGGACGTACCTTCCATCCTTTTCTGCATCTATAGCCGCCACGCTGTCCATCGTAGACTCATCCATTGTGTCCAATGACTCACTCTCAGCGGCCTGTTCACCGTCTTCTTCATCTTCCTCATCGGAGGAAGAGGACGATGCTGAGGATGATGGTGATGAGCTCTCAGAAGAGGAGGAGGAAATGCTTTCGTCATCACTGTCTGCGCTAAGGGCTTCATCTGAGAAACATGAGAAATAGACAAAATAATTAGATAGCAAAACTCATAGATCTACAAGATATGTTTGGATAGACAAATAAAAGCCTAAAATAAAGTGCACATAGCAACAAGGACTCAAATTAATAAGCACAGTACGAAAGACAAACAAGAAAGCTTCATACCTTCTGACTCATCCACTTTGTCACTGTCTTCATCCTCCTCCTAAACATAAAACAATGAGGAATCACCATTCACAAATAACATGTTTGAACTCATCTGTTGGGAGTTGAGAGAATTCCTCCACAGAATTTGAAGAAAAAAAAGAGAAATGCTGCCATCTAGCCATTATTCAATGAAATAACAATTAGTACATATTCTGCAAAAAAGATTTTCACCTTGATAGAATTTTTGCCTATATAGGCATCACACATTGTATCATGACGAGAGAAAATAAATCATTCACATCAAATATTGATGACATTATACCATCTATTGGAAATATTTAAATTAACATTCATCTGTCATTAATAAACAGTGAAATATTTAAATTTGTAGATATGGAAACAATTCCAGTTTCCTGAGATGTTATGCACGTTATGTTATTCTGTGTAAAATTTATTAGAAAAACTAAAATAGAAACTAAATATTACCATTATTCAATTTATAGCCTTTTTTTCAATTCAGAACAGATAAATTGTTCAATTTATGAGGTTGTTTAGTTAAGTTGGTAATAATTTTAAACAGTGCTGTTAACATCAATTAAAGGTTAAAATTGAAAATGTTTTTTGTTAACTGAAATAAAGTGGAAAATAAAATATAAATATTAGATTAACTTAAATTAAATTTTACAAATTTTAAATGTGTAAGTTCTAGTACTAATAAAAAATAAATAAAAAAAACATCAGCATCTGCAATTCTCTCATGCAGGGCAAATGAGGCTTGAGTTGTAAAGGAGTAATAGAATGCTCCAAACCAGCCTGCGCACACTACTACACAGGCACACAAAGGACAGACATAATGGTAAAGAAAACAACCTTCTCAGAGGAGGAACCATCTGATGTTTCTTCTCCCTCGCTGTCCAGATCGTATGGTTTGCGCGCCTTGGCTCTGCTCCTTCTCCTGGCTGCTCCTCTGTCTGCTACACGCCTCTCCTCTGTTCTTCCTGCAGCAGTGTCGGCAGATTTCCCCTGATACGAGTCTGAGAGAGAGAAAAAGAATAGTTAGCAAAGGAAGAATACATAGGGAGGTTATAGAATTACAATTATGTAAACGTCAAAAACAGAACCTTTGAGAGAATTACGGTAATGTCATTAATTCAGCTCTAAAACAGCATTAGAGTCATACCCTCATCTTCCTCATCGGGTGGAGTGGAAGGCCTGGCTCGCTTCAGCTCACCACCCTCGACAAGTTCCTGAGGATCCTTCCTCTTCACCTGAACAACACATTCCTCATTAGTAACAATTTTCATATGAGATTATTTCAAATCATGGTAATGAAGCACACCCGTCTTAATGCAATTAAATGAAAATATTTCAATTTCTGTTAGAATGTCTTCAAGGTAAACTAAACTTTTATTTTGATGGTTTGTTGTGAAGATAATTCAGTATCAGTGTGTATTTTTCTCAAATGAAACTGAAATTTCTCTGAAATGACTCTCAGAACAGCTCTGTAAATTAAGTTAATGTCCTCACATACTGAGACACAGATGCTAAAAACACAGCATCATGTGTGTTTGAGTTTGTGTATCAGAATAAAATTGTGACATTCATATTTCTGCTGTGGGACAGGCTGTTAGATCAATCCATATAGAGTAAAAATGTCCAGAGCTTACAAACATAAATTTTAAATCGCAATTGCAATGTGATATTGTTTATCACCCAGCCCTAAATGAAGGATAAAGATTTAAAGACCAATATGAAAGTTCCATGTGATGGCCTCTCGGGGGTGAAATGTGACAATTACTCGCGAATGTTGGAAATGGTTTTCAGATGTTTAATAGGTGGGAAATAACGTCAAGAACCTTAAAAGAAGGCAAACGCAAGGCCCCCCGCAGGGAGAAACCCTCCATGCCTCCACTCTTGGCCCAGTCTACCAGAGACATGAGTGGCTCCCGAGGTCGGTTGCTCGTCTTCTCGTCCTTCTTGTCCTCCTCGCGCACAACTGCAACTCCCCGCATGGCTGTCTGGAATGGCTGAGCAAACGAAAGCAAGAGGTGGTACGGTTCATGAACACTGCAGGTCATTCACAAAAAACATACAGAAAACACTCTGATGTTACCTTAGCTTTCTGTTCCTTGCGGTCCCACCACTCGTCGAAGGTGCCAAAGGCGACATTCTCCACTATCTTGCGGTTCAGGTCCCTCTGCATGATGCTCTTCATCTCCTCGATCAAAGCTGCCAGCACCTGCTGCACTACTGCCTCGTAGGGGTTGTGGCCCATTATGGCCATCTGGTCACCTGCCGCTCCATACAGCTCTCCATCTACGCCAGGCACTGTGCCGAAGCCAGGTGGAGGATAGTGGGAAGGAAACTGCTGGGGAAGTAGGTGAGGAGGCCAGGGGCTGTGGGGAGGTGGGATGACGTGATGGTGTGGAAGCTGTGCAGCGTGAGGGTCTGGGTAGGCGTATGGTAAGTGAGGGGGTATGTAGCGGTGGTCTTGGTCATAGTGGGTGGCAACATTCCCGTCTTGGTCCATGTATGGGTGGTGTGGGTGGTGCGGAGGTGCATGCGGAGGGGGTATTGAATGGAGGTGAAATGACAGGGGATATTCAGAGGTGGGTGGGACTTCCCCAGGGGGTGCCGTAGAGCTGTTGGAGGAGGCCAATCGCATCTGGTGGAGACGACTGAGCATGTGTGTCTGCATCTGGAATGACATGGGTGCTCCTCCGCAGTACTGGCTCATGAGCTCCATGGAGCTGGCATAGTCGTACATGTGATGCGGCAGTGGAGGAGGGTACTCTGGGTGCAGCTCCATGTGAGGAAGCGGAGGTGGTATGCCAGGGGGTGGCGGAGGCTGCAGGGAGAAGCCGGGAAGAGGTGGTGGAGGGAGGTGGGGAGGGTAAGATGGGATGGGCGGAGGTGGCATGGTGGCACTGAAGTGCTGGCTGGTGTCCGGGGCAGGACTCGCAGAGGGGTCTGGGGTTTGGGAGGGGAGGGCAGATTGCGTGGAGGTGGCCGGTGAAGAGGACGACGAGGCAATGGGATGGGGGGTTGCTGTGGTGATGGCACTGTCATCTTCATCGGATATTTCCATATCTTCCCCAGAGGAGTGAGGAGAAGGCTGGAGAGAAGAGAGTGTGAAGATTACAGGTTAAACCCACTGGGGGGGGGGGGGGGGGGGAAGGGACATTTTCAAGCTAGAAACAAATATAGTGGTACACTGAAACAGAAATACAGAGTATTAACAGAAATAATACTCTCATGCTACAGCACTGGTTCTCAATTCCTGTCCTGGGGACCCCCTGCTCTGCACATTTTGCATGTTTCCTTTATTTAACACACCTGATTCAGATCATCGGAGTCAGATAAGTCAGAGACATACAAATAAGTGATTGAGTACGTTTACATGGACAACAATACTCTGATTTTAATACGATTAAGACAATACTCCGATTAAGAATCTACCATGTAAACAGAGATTTTTGATTACCTTAATCCGGCTAAAGTCATAATCGAAGTAAACAGAAATCGAATTAAGACGTGGAGCATTCCTATTTTAGTCGCATTACTGAAGTGCAGAATAGACATGTAAACACCTTAATCACATTATTACCATCGTGTAGGACTTTTCACCACATTTTGCGACAGGATACACACACGGCAGTGCTCAACCGTTTGACGGCAAATAAAAGAGCTTCAACACCACCGTCGTCTGTATGCACGTACAAATAATTAACTGCACTTGAAGCTTTCATAAAATTAAAAATTAAACACCCAAAACTGTACATGGCATCATCACGAAGACGAACTATATGTTTATACATGAAATACCGGAGGGGACGTAATGACATGTGCCATTAATCGAACTATGTACTATAACATGTAAAACGGGAACATGAAAGGAATATTCTAAAAGCAACTCATGTAAACACCATAATCATAATATTGGCTTATTTAGAATAAGGTAAATAATTAGATTACTGATGTCCATGTAAACGTAGTCAGTGTGTCAGATAAGAGAGACATACAAAATGTGCAGAGTAGTGGGTCCCCATGATTGGAATTGAAAATTACTGGGCTACAGAAAGGAACATGCTAAAGTCTACCAGAGCATGAAAAGGAGCAAAAGCATGTTTCACTTCTGTTAATTTACTGGATCATTTACGTCATGTCAGAACGTATTATAAAAATCCAGCATCATTTACTCACCCTCATGCATTCAAAAACCACAAGAATATTGTTTGTCTTTAGAACACAAATTAAGATATTTTTAAATATCAACCATACTAGTGGATGGGCTTTCATTAAAAGAATCTTAATTTGTTTTATTGTTTTATTATTAATGAATTCATTCTGATTGACAAATCTGAATGTAGTGTTTACATGAATGCTAAATAAAGTGATCGGGTTGCTGTGCGCATTTATATGTCACAAGCTTCTGATCGGATTTAATCTTTTGACATGCGCACACTGCATGAATATGTCGCATACTCTTTTAAAAAGCACATTTGATATTTATCTACTTCGGTCCTAATTAGGCAACGATCAGCACATGAACAGTTGTGCTGTGCTGCTTACTTTTACTGCTTTATAAAGTGCCCCTTCCTGCACCCAAAACCAGTCGTTTGTTGATGAGTCTTAAACAAGGACTGGTGGATGTTGTCCTGCTCCACTTCACAGATGCTAAGTAAAAGCAGAATTTTAGAATGATGGGATACTCATTTATGACACTTTATTTACCAGGAAGGCACAGCTCGTTCTGTGTGTCATACGTCATTACGCTATTTCTACGTCAATTAGGGCTGCACAATTAATCGAAATTAAATCGCAAAGGCAATAAATCGCGATTAGGCAGAAGCTGCGATTGTCGTGCATATCTTTAAGTGAAGCATGGTTCTGTGATCTCCATCTGAAGAACTACAAATACACAAATACTGAAACTACAAATACACCCGCAGAAGAAAATCCCTTTAGCGGTTGCTGAATAAACAGAAGATTTAAGTGCTTTGATTAATTCAACGTGACTAATAAACCCACGACTACGACAATATATGGTATATTTGAGTTAGTCTTATTATAATTTTTATTATAATAAAATATATAATAATGCAATGCTAAGCGACATAACCTTTATCGCTGCTTAGAATACTATGAAATATGTTGTGTGCCTTACTCTGTGTAAGAAGCCACATCATCTTACAGAAGGATTTACTTCCTTTAATTCAAACACTCGGCTGACGTTATGAACTGAGTTTGGAGTAAAAACATGTTATTAAATGTGGTATTTTCACGTGCTTTGATGGAGCAGCATTTACTGCTCCATCAGAGCCGCACTGACAAGCTATGCAAACTGCTTTCATAATCGCAGAACGATTTCTTTGTCTGCGATTATGAATGTGATGAACAGGTCAGTGAACTACGGCTCTGTGTAGTAAACACTGCTCCATCTGAAAGCACGTGCTGGAGATTTACTACAAATCACAGAACCGGCTTTACTGACGAGATTAATCGATTAATCGCGCAGCCCTAATGTCACTGCATATGCGCAGTACTTCCAATTTCGGTTTTCAATCCGATCAAGTGTTTACATGTCCTCTCGCTCTGATTACAAAAGGAATAAACCACCCCTTACAATACGATCAAAATTTTAATCGGATCTGGCCAATTAAATCCGACTGATGTGGTTAAATGTGACTTTTTATTCTGATTTGCTTCTAGTCCTATTACGGGATTATTAGGGCCCATGTAAACACACTGTTAGCATCATATGTGTGTTTAAGTTTGTGTATCAGACACAACATTCATATTTCTGCTGTGGGACAGGCTGTTAGATCAATCCATATAGAGTAAAAATGTCCAGAGCTTATCATTGTTATCAACATAAATTTTAATCGCAATTGCAATATCTGCTTTATGACCAATTTGAAAGTTCCATGTGATGGCCTCTAGGAGGGTGAAATGTGACAATTTTACATGAACGTTTTCATTAGAAGTATCTTAATTTGTTTTAAAGATAAATTAAAGTCTTATGGTCATGGAAGTCATGGAGCTACTAATGCACATAATACTGTTTTATATCAACAGTAAACCAATAATGGATAACAGGTCTGTTCTGATAGGGTCATGAACAGCAGAAAAACAATGCTAATGCAAATAAAACTAACCATTTAATAATAGTGCACAAGTTATAATACCGAAACAAAGAGGCATATCAGCTTTAAAAAAAAAAGGAGGAGATGGAACGCTTCCCTTATCTTTTGTTGCTGAGCACTGCCACAGAAATTAATCATGAATCTTCGGGTGTGAACATCTCAGAGCATTTTGTAATTTAGCACTAATATATCCACCATAATTTTCAATGCAAAAGTAAGATAAGTCTTGTGGATGTGTGAGACTTCTGATTAATTAGCCGCTGTTTGCTTGTCGAGTCTTGATATTTGTGGGTTTGTTACTGTTTCCAAGCCTCTACTCCATTTCAAGTGAGAATACTACCTCAACAGTCATTTATGAGCACTCTTCATCTATAACAAACATTTAAGCTCAATGTTTTAAAACTTCTGGTGTACACTACAGTCTCCAAGTTAACGATGTCCTAGACACCAACATTTTAACAATTGATAAACAAGAAATCATTCGAAATGGAGATAAAGATTCAAAAAAAATTTTCTTATAGTACCACAGAAAAACATGATTAAATATATGCACCATTTGTTGTGTTCTTTTGGGACCCGGAAATGGTGGACCATGACACCAGAAATAACAAGCAGATTTGCACATTCGAATTACAAATGATAGCGTCTATCCTTGTTTTACATGTAACATGTAACCAGTAGGGCTCACCTGTGCCTCTCCATTGTAGGTGGGTGGTGTGTGTGGAGCCCTGTGTGAGTCAGAGGTTGTGTGCTCCTCCTGAGGCGGCGGCATTTGGCCCTGAAGAGACTCTGACACTAAACTGTTAATAGTGGCAGTGGAAGAGGCCACCTCTGGAGGTGTTTTCCTGCCTTCACCCACTCCACCACCTTGCCTTTTACCCCTGCTGCGGCGTCCATCTTTCTCTCCTCTTCTCCTCTGTTGGCTTCCCTCTGTCTCTCCTGGTCTCTTGTGACTAGGCCTTTCACGGTTCTCCTCTCTGAGTTTGTTTCCCCCATTGTCTGCATTCTCACCTGTTTTTTCTCTCTCTCTGTCCTCCTCCTTCTCATCATCATCATCTGAGGCAAGGAAGGAAAACTTGGCTTTTTGTTCCTTCAGCAACATCTCAATACGCGAGTCCAAGCTGCTACTGTGATGCATGAATGGCAGGCTCTCATTGGTGGAGTCTGGCTCCGGGGAGGAGTCACGCTGTGGAGGCGGTGGAGAGAGGGATGCTGTCGAAGAGGGGAGGTGGTGAGGCAGGGAGGTGGAGGATGGGGAGGTGGAGGATGACGGGATTGAGGCGTGAGGTGGCGAGGAGGTTGGAGGTGTCCGAGGTGGATGGGGCGGGGTGCTGGGATAGCGTTTGGGTTTGGTCCACTGTTCTTCTCGGATGGGACTGTCCTGACCAAAATCAAGAGAGCTGAGCGTTTCAGCCACAGCGGCTGCGATGACGGAGGCCGGCGGGAGGGGAGGAGGTGGGGGCGGTGGCGCCAGGGGCGTGTGCTGAGAATGAGCACGGTAGTCATTGTCCATGCTTCCTCCAATCCCAAAACTCCTCTCGCCTGTACTCTGCTGTGGTAGGAAAGCTGGCGAGGGCTCTAGCCGGGAGGAAGAAGGTGTGTCGTAGGGGGACAGGTCTTTAGATGACGAGTATCCTCCATAAGAGGTGGCAGAGGGAGGGGAGAGGCTGTTGGATGAGTGGTGGCTGGAGTTTGAGTGGCCTCCGCAACGTGGATCAGAGCTGTTAAATTCTCCTTCTTTGTCTCGCTCCCATTCCCGATCTCTGCTGCTCCTCCGCCGGCTCGATCCACCTCCACTGCTGCTGTGGTGGTTGTGGGAGTGATGGTGGTTCCTATGCCTTCCATGATCTCCCGAGCGGGAGCCTGAGCTGTCGCGCCGGTAGCCCCTGCCGTCCCTGTCCTCCCGCCGATCAGCATGATGTGAGTGATGTGAATGGTAGGATTTGGAGGTGGATGAGGAGTTTGTATCCTGTTGGAAGTGGTAAGAGGAACGTCGGGAGCTTATCCCTCCTTCATAGCGCCCTCCTGAGTCTCTCTCGCGATCCCTATCCCTGTGTCCCCTTTCTCTATCTCGGTCTCTCTCTCTGTCGGACAGCGGAGGTGGCTCAAACTGAGACCCTGGAGGTGGCATGGGTGGATGCAGCGGCATGTGCATTCCTGAACCTCCAACACTGGGATACGGATAGGGAGGCTCGCTAGGTCTAAAGGGCGTTGTTGGAGGATATCCCAGCCGCCCCCTGTGGAACACGGAGGGTTCTTGCGGAGGTGGAGCATGTAAGTCATCATGAAAACGAGGGGGCTTGAATCCTGATGATGAGGAGACTGCTGAAGAGGAGCAGGAGGAAGATGGAAGCATATCCTGCTGGGAATAACTTTGAGTGCTGCTATAGCCACCATGCCTGAAAGAAAAGGATATTTTCTCAAATCGTTAAAGAGAAATTAACCGAGCAACTTCTAATCAAGGTTTTATGTAAATCTGGAAGCCAACCTGCCCACAGAGTATCCCGAGTCCTGGGAGAAAGGGGTTCCAGAGCGAGGAGTGCAAGGGGTTCCGCCGCCCTGTGAAGAAGCAGAGGAACCTGGCGTATAGGGTCCTCCCAGAGAGGATGGAGGGGTGTCTAGGCGCTGGTCTCCAAATCCAGTGTCCACAGAACATGGGGTGGTGCTGCTGCCAGAGTTCAGAGGTGCAGCGGGAGCTGCCATCTGGTCTGTGGAGAGCCTCCGCCGGATATCAGACGACTAACAAAAGAAAATAAATATAATCTAATAATTTAGAGAGGGTAAAAATAACTAATACACATTATAATTTTGTTTAATTATCGGTATTGGTTAATAGTGTATGTGTGTAGTTTTCACATTAATTGAACTTTGCCATCATTTAACGATCACTTAAAGTCTATAAGTGTAAAATTGTTATTTGTTTGTAGTGTTTTATTTGTAATTTGCATTACCATACAAAAGATTTCTATTTCAGAAAAATCCACTTTTGAACTTTCTATTCAAAGAATCCTGAAAAAGATTAATCATGGTTTCAACCAAAATATTAAGCACACAACCGTATTCAAATGTACCATATGGAAACATATAAAAATAGGAAACAGTTACTACTTTTACTGTATTCTGATCAAATAAATGCAGACTTGGTGAGAATGAGACTTCTCTCAAAAGCATTAAAAAAAAGTATTTTACCATCCCCAAATGTTTGAATGGTAGTGCATTAAAAAAAAAATATATATATATATAGAATTAATATTAGAAATATGTGAGTTATTGGCCATCTTTATCTGCATCAACCATCATTTAAATACTGTTGTATCCTAATGAAAAAAAAGTAAATAGTGTGCTAAACAGGGCCCAGAGGGATATAAAATATAAGGCCCTGAACTGTGACTGGCCCACTTACACTGAATATTTAGGAACATGGCAATACAAATCGCTTTGTCTCATCAAGTAAAAAAAAGTCTTATAAAATACAGTATGACCAATAAAATCCCCTATTATTGTTTTATTACAAGGATGTGGCTGCAAGCAATCCAAAACTCCTACAGATAAGTGAGGGAAACAACATTGTTCACTGAACATCATAATGCTGGTATACAGGGGAAAAGCAATGTCACAAACACGATATCTGAAAAAAATGGCCAATTGATATTGAGTTAAGAGCCCCAATGCCAGTAGAGTCTCAATGCCAGCAGCCACCGTCTACAGACACAAACTGTTTTCATCTGCATTTGGAAAATCTCAATGCATTGTGCGATGCCTGAAGGCGCCTTTTTTTTTGACATTTTGTGGTCCGCTAGTGGTCACTATAATAACACAGACAGGGGTTTGAGAGTGACTGTAATATGTAGAATAAACTGCAAGACAACTCAAACCAAGGAAGGCCATTGCTCTTCAAGGACACCAAGAAACTTTGGCTGGTAACCGCACACACTTATAGGAAAGCAAAGCATTCTTTCCAGTGTGGCTGAGCTAAGGTTTGTTTGGTACTCACTGTATCTGGCTGAGTCGGGGCTGGGGGCTGGAATTTTTCAGTGAGAGCTTTGCCTCCAGTTGGCACTGTCTGAGGGGTGTATGAGCCACTCACTATCAATTCATAGTACTTCATCCTCTGTTGGCCTAGAAAACACACACAATATCAATTCAACTACAGAGTGGCGCATTTATTTCCATCATGCAATGCTGGACATTCCAATTTTTCATTATACAGTTTCATTATCACTATGTTTCATATTTTCAAGAAATAAAGAGATGTAAGGATATAAACAAGCATTATTCTAAAATTAATTTTGACATTTCTTTGCAAGTAGGAATGCAAACAATTACAATTGTATTCTTTTTTTATCCAAATAAATGTATAATAAATAAATAACTAAAATCATACATTTTAAATGCTACAAATAAATTTAGGCATCACAACATTGTAAGTATGAAAAATGGATAGTCATTTAGAGATTCTCTAAGGATGACATTTAATAAAATTATTAAATTACTATTGGTTTTAAAGATTAATATTTAATGAGAGTTAGATGAAGGCAAAATACATTTAAAATTAAAAAAGGGGGAAGATGAGCATGAAGGATTAAATATCCAGTAATGTTTTTAAAATAAATCTCTCGTGCTCACCAAGGCTGCATTTCTTTGATTAATAATATGGCTAAAACAGTAATACTATGAAATATTATTACAATTTGAAAATCATTTTCTATTTTAATATATTTTAAAATGTAATTTATTTCTGTGATTGCAAAGCCGAATTTTCAGCAGCCATTACTCCAGTCTTCAGTGTTACATGATCTATCATTGCAATATGCTGCTTTGGTGCTCAAGAAACATTTTTTATTCTCAGCAATGTTGAAAACAGTTGTGTTGTATTATATTTGTGTGGAAACTGTGATAGACATTGTTTCAGGATTATTTGATCAATTTCAAAAGAACAATTTATTTGAAATAAAAATCTTTTGTAACATTACAAATGTCTTTACTGTGACTTTTGATCAATTTAATGCATTCTTGCTGAATAAAAACATTTATCCCCCCCCCCCCAAAAAAAAATAAACTTTTTGAAAATCATTGACCCTGACCTTCTGAATAGTAGTGTATATAGAAAGTATATACCTCAGAATATTAAAGATCAAAACATTAAAAGACAGAAACACACCTTTGATATCTAGCTGGACATGGACAATGTTTCCCATGACAGAAGTATTGTGCAGGTGTTTGACAGTGTCTTTGGCCCCTCTAGTGCTGGTGAAAAGGACACGGGCCAAGCCCAAGTGCTTCCGTGTCTTGGGATGAAACAGAATCTCCATTTCCTCAACCTCACCAAACTTGGCGCACATCTCTGCCAGGAAAGGCTCTTTGATGTTATCATTCAACCTCGCAAAAGTCACTTCCTTAAGTGGTATAGGACCTACATAATACTCGTCCAACTATGTAGAGCAAAAAAATAAAGAAATTAAGAAATGGGTTAGCATGCACAATACAAAAATAGACTAATACAAAAAGCTCACCAGAAAAGCAGCATAATATATTGAAATGAAAAAAAAAAAAAAGAGGCATACCTTGAATTTGGGCACTGGCAGTGACAGCTCTGTGTGTCTAGACCAGATTCTGCGGGGTCTTGGATCACGCAAGTCCCCCACAGGTGGGAATCCTGAATCCTAAAAACAAGCAGAACACACAGACTTTACGTAAGTATGCACACACAAAAGTGTAAGCATGCTCCGTTTGGCAGTTAGGTGTACTGTATATGTACTTCCATACCGGTACACTAAAGTGAACCCCATCATATCTGTAAATTTTCTGAGCAACCCGTCGGATAGCAGGGTCTTGTACTAGCTTATAGCTCTTCCATTGCAGACTGAGAGTTCGCTGTGTGTCCGCCCCACTGTCCGGATCCATGCTATCACTGCAGAGAAAGAGACGAGAGCAAGATGTTGTGCAGATGCTCAATGACACATGTTGAAGTTGCAGTAAGAAAAGCTTTTCACTTATGGCTCATTCATTTCACCAAGCAACCTATATGACTGTCCATCTTGAAAACCTTGCATTGTAATCATCAAAAAAATAATAACAAACAACGTGACATATACAGTTCCACAAGAATTCTATTTAGTGGGCTGTAATTTGTTGTCACCTCTTTATTAAGATGCTGACTAATATTTTGTTATCAATCTGACTTCTGCGTCCCTTATATTTGTGTTAGATAAATATGCTATCTTCAACTTAAAATGTCACATTTATCACACACACTAAAACGTGGAAAATAAAAGCACGGCTACCCGCTGTGTTTTACGGAGTAATAAACAAAAAGCACTGCAGATATTGTGTAATACATACTATCTGACATATCGACTAGCAACAACAACAACGAGCTAACACCATAAACACTGAAGCTGCTAGCTGCTCACAGCGCGAGCTAGCTAAAGTTCAACTTCAAAACGATGTGACAGTAGAATACAAGGCAAATACCAATGACTTCTAGCAAACGAATTTAGACCAATTCCCAACACTAAACAGAAATATTCCTACACGGTGTGCCAAAAGACTTACACAACGGCGCGCGCGTCTTGAGGAGGATTGCCCGCTTCGACAGCCGCTAGCTCGCTACAGCTAGGCCTGTATCGGACGGGGACAACAGACAATCCTTAGTTAAAATCTAGCTCCGTTTTGAAGTATGGGCCCTAAATCTGGTCTAAAACGGTGTCGCTTGTATTCCGGTGCAATATCGATGCGGCAAACGTCTTCAAATTTCGCCAGAAAATTAAATGTACTAAAAAGAATAACATAATACAGTAAGCGGCCATCGCATAACTAACCTGAGAGCCTCGCCTGCTCGCCATCAGTCACTACAAATACTAACCGTTGCATTGGCACTCGCACTTTCCACATAATTCCCGGCTATGTTCCTTAGCTATGCATTATTTAACAAATAATGTCAAACTAGATTGTGGTTAGTTTCATATAGCAATAGTAATCGTAAATAGTAATATAAATTCACATGAAATTATTTTCCTGCCTTTACTTTTCTCAGAACAGCTCAAAATATTTTTGACCGATGCAAGTATGACTTCTTTATGGCGAATGTGCATTTTCATTGAATTGTACGTCATTGACGTGCGAACTTGGTATAGCTGCGTGTACTTGAAAGGTTCTTTTCTATACATAAATATAGCAAGAATTTGTTAAAATGCATAATTGCACGATACATTTTAAATAAAGTTTACGTTACTAAACAGTAAAAACAACAAATCTATCTGGGTGCAGATATATATATTACTTGTTTATTCTTACTTATTCTATCCACAAGTTCAGAATCACCTAACGTTACACGTTAGTGGACAGCAGGTGGCGCTGCTACAATCTTAAAAAGTAATTACACATTTACCGATACATTTTGTTATTCCTTAATAAAATTGAAGGGTATTTTTTGTAAACATAATGGTAGGCAAGTATAATTTCGTTCTCTTACCTGTGCTTTTGTTGGCTCCTGTTTTTTTTCCATGTCAATGTTCAAAACAACCTAAAAGACTCCTGGGATGCAAGTTGGATGTCCCAGTTCAAACTTCCTCAACTGTTTTGTTGTGGTCTCACCTTCACTGACCTTTCAAAGGACAGTGGTTTGGTGCCTGCATCAGCATCAACGTTCTAGGACTGCTAGTAGTAACTTTATTCAGGGGAGTTATTATTTCATAGCCATGATTTGCTTTTGATCTATCTGGTCCTCTATACACACTGTTGAGTAACTGGGATGCACCTCAAGCTCACCATCTTTTTTGTCTCTTGACATGCTGAAACCTCTTCCTATTATTTAAACCATAGATAAATTACTATCATGAAAACTTTGTGCCATTAATCTTTAAGCAGTTATTTTGGCATATCATTCACTAGACAAACAGTTTACCACTATTGCAAAACAATGAGATCAATGCAAAAGGCTTGTAAATGTGGATGAAAAGATATTGAAATAAAGTAATGTCACATCACAAGTTAGCTATTTTTCAAACATTTTTAATTTTAAACCAGTTTTCAAAAAATGTCAAAGAAAGTACATTTAAAAAATTGCACAAATATTACAACTGACCTAAACATCAACAAATTCAGAAAGGAAAAACACAAATTTCATGATTAAGAATATCAGAACACACTACAGAGAGAATAAAAAAAAAATTACCAGAACTAAAACAAAAACAATTATTTTAACAACATACAACACAAAACATGAGCAACAAGGTAATACATGTTGAAGTGGAGTAAATACTGGTCCCACATTGAAATAAAGTCTTATTTGGACAAAAGAGAATTTCCCATTAGTAAGGCCGGTCTCTGCGGTCATGTCTGTGTTCACCTCTGAAAAACACATAACATAGGCACTGAAATACATTTTCACTGGTGAACATTGTACAGTATACTGAAAATCAGTTTTCTACTAAATAACATTTTAAGATGTGTGAGAATGCGAATCATCAGTAATTTCACCTCGAGTCCATCTTGCCGGGTCCAAATTCTCCTCTGAAGCCCCCTCGATCGCCACCACGGCCACGGAAACCACCTCGATCAAAACTGCCTCTGCCTCCACCAAAACCACCTACAAAAACAGGGACATTAAAGCAGCAATCCACTGTCTGAGTTCACTAAGGCTATGTTCACACTGTCAGTTTTTGGGATTGACAACCGCATTTTCTTGACGAGAGCGGCTCCGGTGGAAAACTGATGGGATCTAAAAATTTCAGGTGACAGACACGCAGCTCATTTCTCCGTCACTGTAAGTTACCGAAAACACGTAACACACGGTAAACACGCGTTTGTGCGGCAGAGCGGCTCTCTCTCGCACTGTATGACGTGACAGACAACTAGTTGTCCAGTCCTGTTCCGTTCACACAGCGCGTGTGTTCCGAGAATGCGGTTGAGTCCTGAAAATTTACAGGTGTGAGTTTGGTTACAGAATACAGTTGTCACACGTGTAAATAACCGAACTGTGTGTAAAGGAGGACTCAAATACAGGACTGACAACCGTATTCTGCTGCTGTGTGAACTAAGTCACCTACGACTCCAGCATCTTGTTTTTTTTTGCAGAAATGTTTCTCTTTACCTTCCATCGGTGGCATTCCTCCTCTACTTCCTTCCGGTTTGGGAGCTTTGCACTGATTGCACTCATTTCGCCATGAGAAGTTCAAATTACCACAAGTTCTGCCCACACACACAAGATAAAAGCTCAGAAAATATGAATGTGAAGTCACATTTATTTACATAGCGCTAAACTCACAATATGCATTGTTAAATCTGCCAGTTGAGATTTGCTATAGTATATAATGCTTTACATGAGTGCACTGTACATCATTTGTATTATGTAACTGTAAACACTTCACAATTTGTTAAAAGTTTACAAAACACTTACGGGTTTGAACATTTCCAGTCTCCTGCTCTTTGCTGGCCACCACCACCACCGCCGCCGTTGCTGCCATTGTTGCCTGGGAAACCACCACCACCTCTTCCACCCCCAAATCCCCCACGGCCCATTGGCCCTGCAAAAGGAGAAGAAAACCATATCAGGAAAACAAAACAGACTAAAAGAAAAGGAGATAACTTAAAATACCACAGAGAGATCAAACCTTACCACCTCGACCACCTCTCATGCCACCACTGCCGCATCCAAATTCAACTCTGCGAGTAGCGAAGGACACCTTGATAGGATTTCCACTAAAATCTTTACCTGAGGAGGAAAGATGTATGTGACTTAGACATCCAGGAAATAAAAAAATGCAATAAGACTAACAGACTCCAACCTTGTTTTAGAGAAAAGGCATTAGTGTGATCTACTTCAACATACCATCAAACCAATCAATGGCTGCTTTTGCAGAAGGAGGGTCATCAAAGGAAACAGTAGCCTCCCCTTTAAGCTTTCCTGTCTCTCGGTCTGTGTACAGATTTATCATGGGTAATCCTGTTTTCTTATTGACCTGTGTGAGAAAATAAAACAACATTAAGACAAGCAGTACTACGCTAAGATAGCTGCTGCACAATGGGAATTTTCTCTTGCTTTTCCACCTTGATGATGCCGATCTGTTTGAAGAAATCTGCTACTGACTCAACAGTATAGTCGTCTCCGAGACCTTGCACAAAGATGGTGTTGTTGTCAGAGTTATCCTGCACTGTAAAAAAAAAAAATTCAGAAATGTATAATCAGGCTTAAAAACGGTCTAATAATGCAAGTAATAAACGATTACGTTAGTTTCCGTATTTGACTTACTATTGGGCCCACCAGCTCCATGATCCCTGGGCCCTTTGAAGTGAAAGGAACAGTCATTAATATTACATATGTACACAAATACACAAATACACAATTTACACACACACACATTACTCATTCTTAATCCTTTGACTTTCATTTTTGGGGTCATATACTTCTGGACCATAAATTATATATAATGTATGCTCCAAATATAGAAAACAGGACCTGATGCAAAACTGTAGCAGGATATTTGAGAGAACACCACAAGCACCAACCAACACTACACATTTTCAAAACTGACGAAAACTGGCCAACATTTGAATAAGTCCAAGGTCTCAAGTGGAAGACTCTTTCCTCCCATACCGATAATTGTAGCTCGATTTATACTCGTAGGCAATCCGAAATACATATCAGACAACTCCATGTACTGGCTTTTTGTCTCTCATTTTATGGAAAGCAGCAAACCATGCCATAACCGTCTAGTTCAAACCCCTGCAACCATACTTTTACAGTCTGCTTTGCAAAGAGTGGCTACTGTTTTTTTGTTGTTGTTCTTGTCATATTCAAAGTAGGTATTCAAATTTAAAACATGCATAGCTAATAAGGACAATTTTTAATATTCCAATTTAAAATACCACTGAATACTACTTTGCAACCAGTATTGTTCACCTTTTTTAATGAGTATCTCCATTAGCACTGAACATCACTGTAATAAGTGATATTAGGACACATTACATCAATGACCATACGTTCATAGACCATTTGATAAGGCTCTCATTTTCCATCCCACAAAAGCAGATTTCCAAACGGTCAGACACTGGGTTGTCATTGCTTTTGCTCGGAGTACATCTAGACATTAGATTTTCCCAGGTTAAGCAACCATTTTTCACAACTTTTATATAACTGGAAGTAATTTGGCAAACCATTAGAAGTGTTACCAACACCACTGATGTTTTCAAGAGATTCATTACGACGATCAATGATGAACCACCATCTTAAACATTTTACCAGTCTAATCCAAAGATATCAACAAGAATAATACTGAAACCCAAATGGTGTATTTTCATTATTAGAAAATACGACCATAACTCACTTTATTAGAAATAGACAGATGTTCCTTAACCCCAAAGTGTAGCTGGCTTTGAAATCACCTTTAGGTTCACCATACAAACCGCCATCTTCAGCAAATATTCCTTCCATACAAACCCACACAATTTTCACTGGATCTAGCTTCATATCAAATTTGGGCTAGCCAGATAAGTTTCAACACCTTATTATACCTTTAGATGCCGTTTGACGTAGTTACCAGTTTAAAACACTGTAGAGAACACACTGTAAAACCGAACAGTCAATTTAATTAAATAAAATGAGTTAACTTCACTCAAATAATAATGAAAGTTAATTGGACTTAACTGAAATAAGTTCAGTAAATTTAAAATGTTGTTGTAGTAAGGTGAACTTAAAATGATTGCGTTTTCTAGTTCCCAGCATGCTTTGCATCAGACAACAAAGAGAAATTAAGTGTTATTTTGTGTTTTTACA